TCCGATCCAACTGGAAGAAGCACAACACTCTCAGCGTTCGTCGTTACCGATAGAGTGTTTAGTGTTTTTATATTTTGTTGTTGTATGCTTTCATTATGCCCTCTGCCTTATGTGTATGCACCACTAGCACATCAACCCACCAAAAAATTCAGATGTCTTATACTGGGAACATTCATTGGGAACTGAGATAGATACTTATTACGCATCTTCAAAACAAACCAGCCGCTTGCCTCTCGAGTGAATATAGTGTGGGATCCCGCTTTAACGCTGTCATTTTGCTGATGTCACTCTTGGTTCCTACCTTCATGCCAACCTCTTCAAACTCGCCTCAATAACGACGCTTTCTATGCCACCATGGCGGACTTGGAAAAGGGAAAGCTAAAGGAACTCTCGTCCATTGATGCACAAGAGGATGACGAACTACACCGTCGGCGACTGGACCTTGACCTCGACGAACTTAATGAACCAGACGATCACGACGAAGGAGATACTGCTTATCCCGAAGACGACCTCCCAGATTCACGCGCAACCTCACCTCTTCAAGACTCGGATGTTTCCCGGAAAGCATCTTGGTCAGCTCGTTTAAAGAAGCTAATCTTCCCCGCCAAGTCCTCTTCAGAGGACTTTGAGAACTTTGTTCCGCGATACCGATACTTGCCAATATTGTCAGGCATTGCAATTCCGTTTTCTATTCTCTTGGAAATTCCTGGTTTAACGTGAGTACTGCTTCGTTCTATTTCCTTCCGCGCTCACAAGACGTCATAACTAGATCCAGATGGTATGTTCGAACAGACGACAATCGCACTGTGGAGACCCAACCCAACCCCCCACTTCTCGATATTGCCATGGGAATCAGCTTGTTCTGTGCTATATCAGCTAACACAGCTCTCATTGCTCGGTTCTTGGAATGGCGGGTTGGGTTAATGACATTGCTTTGCGTCATTTTCCTGTCCATTCACGGTCAGTTGTTCCCATTTATTCTGGCATCCAGCGTTTAAACTCTTTATTTAGATACAATAAACATCGTCACCGTTGTGACATTCGGTATCGAACATCGGTTCTCAGATGGGTTCACTTATGGTATGTTTGTATACATTTCATACTTTCTCCCATAACTCAAGAATTCCCTAGGTCAAGCTTACTGGATGACGGTTTGTTCAACTGTAGCATCGACCTTCACTAATATCACTCTTCTAATCGACCTCATATGGACCAAGAACTTTGTAGTTAGCGGCTCAGGACTCACCCGGAAACAGCGGTCCTTGAGCATTATCATCATCTTTCTCCTCGTTTACATTGCTATCGGTGCTCTCATCAATACGTTCCTCATCGCAGACCTTAATTTTATTGACTCATTGTATTTTTCAATCCTTGTTATTGAGGCTATTGGTGAGTTCGCTTGTCTTTCTTTACTGTATTCACACTCATCGCTCTGTCAGGATTTGGAGATGTTCTCCCCGTTACCGTTGGCGCACGCATCTTCGTGTGCTTTTACGCAGTCTTCGGCCTTGTGAACCTTGCTTTGGCAGTTACCCTCATCCGAGAAACTGTCCTTGAAGCTCTTGAAGTTGGCTATTACAAGCGTCTGCAAGAGGTTCGCAGGCGGAGACGAGCAACAACATGGAAACGTCGCGTCATTCGCCGATGGCGAAATGCCATTGAATGGCGCCTCACTAAACTTCATTGTCCTATCTGGGTCGAGGACGACGATTCTATGGAACATATTATCAGCTATCATTACCATAAATTGACCCGATGGTGCCGAGCGAAGATAGAAGATATTGCGGAGTACTTTGGGCTGTCGATCTTCATGGAGAAAGGTTCGATTGTGAATGAAAATGGCTGCTTGGCGGATTATAAACATCCACATCTACCTCATCCAAGAGGGATGAGGTTGAACCTAGAAGTGCTATCGAAGAAGCAGTTGCAGAGTGCAGCCATGGAAGCTGGAGTTGCCCTTGAATTGCTACTTCCTGTGGATTACTGGGAGAGGAGGGAAGAGCGGTTAAAGGTTTATTTCAGAGATCTATATTGTTGATATACATGCTAAACAGATGCTGTTAGGATCGAAAGAACAAAATGGGTCGCTCTTTGACTTCATTTCGAGACCCAGGGAGCCCAGGACTGCTTTCTCCCCCCCGAACGCATACTCCAGTACAAACCTCCCACACTATTGCAACTATTCCTTCTACGTCCTACGATCTTCTACGACAAGGACGCCAAGCGACAGATGCATCCCAACCTGGTGACATGCCGTTGACTCATATGCGAATGGGACGAATGGTGGCAATGCTTGGAAACTTTGCGTTGGCAGTCGACAACTCAACCCACCTCACAGGGATCCCTCTTCCGCCTGTTAAAGTGCAATCTATTGTCACGCCGTTGAGACAAGAATCAGCCGCACCTCCATCTGGGGCCGCAAATCCACAAAACTCATCATCATATGGTATGTTTCGAGAAACAGTAGAGGAGGAGGAGACGCGAGCTTTTCAAAGTCGACTTTTAATATCATGGTTCCTGTTCCTTGTCTTTTGGACGGTGAGCCGAATTCAGTTTGTTTCCAGACGAATTTCAGCTCATACTACTAGGTGGGCGGCGTCATTTTCCGTGCGACAGAAGGATGGACATACGCAGAATCACTCTACTTTTGTGTAGTGTCTTTTACAACTATCGGATTTGGTAAGAGTCGATATGCTACCTTTCTTGTGCTTTCTTTGATAGAAACGGAACAGGTGATTTCTCTCCCAAAACCCCTGCGGGACGTTCGATCTTCGTTGCGTGGGCTCTCTTTGGTGTTGGAACAATGACAGTTCTGATCTCTAGTCCGCCCTTTCTTCGCAGTTTCTTAACGACTATAACTAATAGTTGATTTAGTCGTCGCTGAAGCATACTCGGATCGTTACAAGAATGCGCTTCATTCTGGTGCCTTTGCCCGTGCTGTAAAGCAGTACAGAAATCGGTCAGGGCATGGCAACATCTTGGCAAAGAAAAAACGGAACCCTCTCCCACCGGTGATGCCCGTTGGAACAACCCACGAAGACATCTCAACGGCACTCGCCGAGTCTGAGCAGCAGGCCAAACAGAGTCTCGAAGACCTTCCCCATCAGATTATAAAACATGTTCGAACATTCCACCAGCATTTCCAATTCTTTGTGGGCCCAGATGCCAAAGCAAACGTGGGAAATCTTTCAGAAGTCCCTGAGGGTTTGCACAAGCTTATGGACGACATCAGCGGTACTGAGAAACTAGCGGAGAGGATTAAAAAAGAGATATTGCAGGACGAGCATGCTCGTCAGGTCAGTCCCTTTTCTTCGCCCTAACCTTATGCTCATGACGAACTTTTTCAGACTCTGTTGCATATTGGCATCGAACGTAGGTTTCTCTGCTTCTACTGACCCGTTGTCTATTTCATGAAAAAAACTCCTAGGAATATTGAAGCGCATTGTCGATACGACTGAAGAAGCTATCAACGCGCTTGCGGAACGGGATCGGCTGGCACTGGCGCATGAGATTTCCTTGGAACATTCTGTATCAACATCTAGTAAAAATGATCAAGCTGCCTCAGCAAGCTAACAGGAACTACATGACGCTATGCTTTTGCACCCTTGTACATTGAGAATGTATTGTTTATTGTACAGCTTCTCTTCGTCTTCGACCGTAGGTTCGCCTCTAGCTACACTAGAGCTGCAAAGTGCCAGTTACATGAATGGATACAACACAGGAACCTTCGCTCGCGAGAATATGACCTCCCACTGGCACCCCGACTGCTCCACACGACTCTAGGTTTCTACCCCCCGTCCCTCATTGCACGGCTCCACGCAGCATACTTCATAGACAGAGGTTTCGTCCATTGTTTGTCTAAAGACCCGTGTTCCTGGGTTCTTTTTGGACTGGATAGATGCAATCGGCGACAATTTCTACAATTGTCGCGCCACCAGCAACCTTACACGACCTGTTGGACATGAGACGAAAGTCGCAGAACGACGTCCACATACCTGTTCCCGCTCTTGTGGAATCCTACGTAAATGGTCGCATATATGGCGGTGCCGGGCTAGTGTGTGGTGTCAAACACAGTTGTCTAAGAAACAAAGACCGAAGATGTGGGTTCTCAGCCGTCTAATCCCTGTTCATTTGCTGAAGTTGCAATCACAGAGCCTAGTATTCAAAAAAGCACCCCGACCGAATTTCGGGTTTGGATTCGACCCAGAAAGAGCCTTTATCCCGTTACTAAAATGCTATATCGACGATCCGGGATCCTAGATGATGTCGATGATGAACTTGGACCCATCACTATTTTGGAGAAATGGCAATACGAGTACGCAAGATTTGGCCTCCTAGGAAACACCGCTCATGGGCTGAATGGGGTGAGTCCATGCGATGATATTTGAAACCTGTTCTTCAGGAGGTTCCAACACGATTCCTCTTTCCAGATGTGATTCAACAGTTGAAAGAGCTTCACGAAACCGAAGTGGCAGAAACAGGTTTATATAGTAGGTTTCATATTGTTGTCCTAGTTAGCTATCCGATTTATATGGTAATACAGAAGGACTGAGTACTAGGTTTTTCACCAATATGCTCAGAAGTATCGTGCCCTGCTTTGATGACTTGTTCTGCAAGTGAAGCTGCCTATATGTTCTGCCAGTTCTGTCGTCAAGTACATCAAGCTGATTCTCGGTCGTTCTACTTGATAAAGATAGGGAAGGATAATATTCCTTTCATGGTTCGCTTTCAGATACTACGCAAGTCCGACTCACGATTTCTTAACAGAGATGAAGCACTCTCTTAATCTCGATCCAAAAGTTCAAGCCTTGCTGTTGAAGAGGTCGTGAGGAACATGGCAGAGATCTGGGCCTGCCAAACTTCTCCGTCTATGTAGCAATCCTTCTGTAGCTGCGCTAGCCTCGGAAGAGAAAAAGTCGTGGAACCACTATCCCCGTTTCTGTCGTCTTGCGGTTTCGGAAACGTCGACCCTGGGGCTCATATATCCTAGCAAAACATTACGACGCCGACAGGGTTCGAACCTGTGCGGGAAAATCCCAACAGATAATTGAGAATTCAAATCTGTCACCTTAACCACTCGGTCACAGCGCCGCGGGAAATCCAGCCACATGTCTTTACTAATTCCCGTCTGGCAAATTAGTACCCAGATCTGGAACTAACAGCACCATTAGACTGACACAACAACAGTCATTGTAGATCAAATCTAGGCTTGAGCACTAATCAGCTACTAAGGTCGAATGTTCTTGGAGTGGGCCCTATGTCTGAAGTCGATAGGTTTCATCACCACTTCAAGTTGTACCGTAAGTGTTGAGCGATGAACGAGGAAACAACATACAATTGCACGACTCTCCAAATGTTAAATGCCAAGCCATAGTTTATCCTTCAACGATCGGAGCAAATGGTGCTGGCAAGATAGTAGAGAACACAGCCATTCGTCAAGGTCAAACCCCGGTCGTGTTCGTATTTGCGATTGATGCGAGAAGAAAGGACAATGGGTAGTTGCTCGAAACCAACTGCACTCCCAAAATACAAGGCGTAAAGAGAAGAAGAGGAAAAACTATAGATAAAAAAAATCCATAGGGACTTGGTCGAGTTCCAATATCACAAAAATTGCGAGCTGTATGGTCATGTGGGTCCCTGCGAAGCTCCTGCCAATTGATTCGCGATTTGCGTTCACCTTGTCGATCTCCCAACCGAGAAAACAGTGCCTGACTTGCGGATCACAGATTTTTTTTCCTTGTCGGTTTGTTGGTCCCCCGATGCCTCATTGAAGGTGACTACAGATGATCATGGGTGTTCATACATTGTGGGTGAATAATTGGGTGCAGGCGCTCTCGAAATTTTGTGTTGGCTTTGACCGTCATTTCAGATTTGTTTCGGGGCGTCAGCTGAAGATGAACTCGGTTTTCCCCTCGCCATAGGCGACCATTTCGTCAATTTTGTTTCTTTCTTCTCTCTTGTGATCATCATGGGAACTGCAGAGTCTGGAGCATCTATCGGGGCAAACCTCTCCGAGAAAGGGGGTTGCGCAACCTGCCGGATTGGTTCTGAAGATTTTAAGCATCTAGTTTTTTGCCAGGGCCCTTCGGATGACAACGGACATTGCGAGCCGAATAAAAAACTTCTTATGACGAGCTCAAGACAACTGAAACCAGTCTCACTGCATGCCACCTGCTGGATTATTTGTTCCAGCGCGCGCGCCCTCAAGCTCTTCGCCCTTGGGGCGCCAGCGGGAACTCCTGCGGGCTGTTGGAGCTGAGTGTAACACCTCTGTTTCGGTCAGTGCCGTGGAAGCTGGAACACAGCAACCGCTCCGACTCCTCGATCTTCTGTCCTCGAGGTCGGGAGACCACATGGCCGGCAGAGATTTTCAGCGCCTCAATGGACGTGCCTCAAATGCCCAGGCGTCACCCATCATAACGACCGTGTTCGTAAATCAATCCTCATCACAACTGCTCAATGACCATTTAAGGATGTGCACGCTTCTCAAAAGTGACACATCGTATATAAAGAAGGGAGGATTGCAACAAATTAGCAACAACAAGTCCAGCTGCAATCTACTCCTACCCTCCGCTCGACCATGAATACCGGTCATAATTCGCAGTATTGGACAACACCCATATACACTCCTCAACCTTCCCACATCCACTATCAAGCCCATAGTCAATGGCAAGATGAATGGCAGCACCCCAACAACTTTGACTCTCATGGCATCTTTGACTCCCATACGGGATATGTTCAACACGCTTGCTGTAACGAGTACGCCTACTCGATTACATCAACGTCTGCTGCTCCCTCGAATTATTTGGGATATTATCCAACCACTTACTCTTATGTCCCGGAGACATTCCCTTCTCCGCCCTCTTCGGGGCCGTCGTCCCCAGCATCTCAATTCCAGGAACTTCTCGATGGATATGATCCATCTGGGGAAGAGGTGCATTCTTCATCGGTAGACTCGTCCCCAGTGTTAGGTCATGTCGTCGGTGGCACCCCAAGTAGCTCCAAGCGTCGCTTCGCCTGCGATGTGCAAGGATGTGACCGACTCTTCACTTCGCAATACACTCTCAAGGTTCACACTGCGGCACATCGGCCGAAGGCTTCTGTCACGTGGCCTTGTACGTATGGATGCGACCAGGACTTCTCGAGGAAACACGATAGGCTCAGGCACGAAGTTGCAAAACACGGGAGGGTATGCGAGTATTCGTGCGAAGACTGTGGTCGTTTCTTTACCACAACGCGGACTTACCAAAATCACAAATGCCGAATGGCTCCCGTATAGATTTACTTTTACACCCCAAAAAACTTGTACTAGTACCACCTTTTTCCACTTTATCCGGTATATGTTATATAGTGGTCAATCCCTGGATAATTCTTTAAGTACCCTACTTTTTCAAGCCTCTCTAATTACATGTATCGTCTTCGTCTACGTCGTCTGCCTCCGTTAATCTATCCATCCCTATCGAATCCTGGTCCATGTGGTCAAGTAGTGGTCAAGTTTCCTTCAGTTTGATAGTGTCGGGAAGGCGTGGTATCATAAATTTAAGATCGACATCCAGCTGACCTTGTAATTTTTATGATTGTGATTGTAGCTGCCACCAAGCTTTAGCTTTGTTGTGCCCATGTGAGGTGAAGGCCAGGTGGACTAAACAGTCCCTTATCACCAAGGAATATCAAGAGGGAGCATCGACCAATTATAGCACCATTGTGAAATTCAGAAATTGCAAGAGAAATCCTCGAAGACGAGCCTGGTCAGGTCGGGACTTCTGCTTGTCAATTCCCTGTCAATAGGGCTAGCCTCTGGACAAGGGGTTTTCACAACCCGCCGTAATGATTTTTGAAGGTCCTAGAAATATTCTATCTCCAGAGGATCAAAGTTTTTCAAAAGATACCATAAAAACAATTCCTAGGTTGTCTAGCGACGATAGACCGTCAATAGACGCGCGTTAGAAAGCAACTGAGGTTTTGGCTATTTTGACTGTTCTCTTTTACTCGTCAAATTCTCGATATTCTGTAAGGATGTTCTGCTTTGTTTGGGCCGGGAAATTTCTTGTGCTCATTTTTTATCATGGTTTGGACGCTATTGGCAGTGGCTTCGTTGCCTACGTCACAGAAAGAGCTCCATACGGCCAACCGTCAAGATCTTCTCTTTCTAAGGGGATTAGACAAAATATGAGACGCGAATTAGGTAGAAAATGTTGCAAGTTTGATGTGGAACAACGTAATAATATTTGCTCTTTTACGGAGACTTTATATACTAAAGAGCTAGGACTCATAGAAGAGTCAAGTAGTGAGTAAGTAATACATTGAGTCAGTAAATAATAAGCTAGGAGTTAGAAAAGCAAGCGCATCAAATCGTGATGGCGGTGACTCGAGATCAAAACCTACAACAGAAAATGTATTAGGACCGGTTTACTGGGCGTATCGATCCGAAATATTCAAATTCTAAATCAGTAATTTTATGGAGCCCACCCCAAAGTTCGCCCTTGGAGCTCTCGAGGAGCAAATTCTGGATCCATCATTTTGGATCGATACGCCCAGCAAAACGGCCCTGTTGAATAGACAGGTGAGAAGCACTTTATCTAATCTTTCAGCGACTTAAAGTGCGAAAACATGCTGAACTAAGAGCAACCTGGTTGTGGGGTGAATTGATTCCGTGGCATCAGGCCACCCCAAAACGACTCTAAAGCTGTCCGATTTTCTGACAACGGGGCTGCTTCTTCAAATGATGGGGCCTGGGACAGCTTGCTCATAAGGTCTAATATTGTTCTAGAATTCCCAGCCGTAACTCAAGAAAAGAACGCAAAACATTCGCGTGACGTCACTACGTCTCGCGACTTCTATATTGCTCCACGGCGTTCCAAACATTTCGCCATGGTCCTTATATAAACTGATGGACAAGGGACGAAGGCTATCGATCCCCTTACTCTGATATCCCATGGAGGACTTCAAGTACACAGATAAAGCGACCTTGACCCTCAATAATGCGATTCAGTTCGCTAAAGGATAACGCGCACGCTCAGTTCATCCTCTTCATCTCGCTGCTTCACTCATAAACGAGGGTGGAAGTAATGCAAAGGAATCTGGGTCTTCCTTGTTCTCCTCTGTCATTACAAAATCTGGCGGCGATCCAGTATGTGTACTATTTCCCTTCGCATTGAATTTTCAAATTGATTCTCCCGCCTTAGATTGCAGTGAAACGAGCTATCAACAGCGCTGTTGTTAAGCTCCCTTCAGCAATCTCCAGCACCAGAGACAGTGGGTGCTTCTTCTGCATTCATCTCTGTGCTTCGAGCCGCCGAAAAGCTGCGCAAGTCATGGCACGACTCATACATAGCGCAAGATACACTTCTGAGTGCCCTTATTCGTATGTACACTTTATATATGTTATATGTCTCTAACCTGACATTTACTGCTAGATGATTCATCTATGGCCCCAATAATCAAGCAAGCCTAATCTTACTCCTGCCACACTCTCCACGGGCATTGAACAACTTCGGGGCGATCGTCGCGCAGAAAGTAAAAGCGCTGAGGAAGGCTATGACGCTCTCAACAAATATGCCATCGACCTCACGGCTCTTGCGGAAGAGGGCAAGATTGATCCCGTTATTGGTCGAGACAACGAGATTCGTCGCACCATTCGCATCCTCTGCCGCCGTACCAAAAACAATCCCGTGCTCATTGGCGAGCCAGGAGTTGGAAAGACGAGCATAGCAGAGGGGTTAGCTCAGCGTATAGTGAAAAGAGATGTTCCTGCCAGGTTCGTTGAGTTATCTTTCTTATGAACTCCTTGCTCATAATTACATTTCAGTTTGATGGCTCGTCTTTTTTCCCTCGACATGGGAGCACTTATGGCTGGAGCGAAATACAAGGGCGAATACGAAGAGCGGATAAAAGCCGTCTTGGATGAAGTCGAGAAGGCAGCGAAGGATGGAGGTCCCGGTGTCATTCTCTTTGTGGATGAACTCCATTTGATCATGGCAGGGCGAGGTAGCGAAGGTGGAGGCATGGATGCAGCCAACCTGTTCAAGCCCCTCCTTGCCCGTGGCAAGCTTCGCTGTATTGGCGCCACAACTCTCGCCGAATACCGCAAG